TGATTAACTTCTTTGAAATACTAGCCTGAGTTCCACTTTCTGTACTTGTCCATCAGTGCATTTTTTTAAAATTTTTCTTTTGTTACTAATCACTCAGCAAGCATATCTATGTGCTAAGCTGACAGAGGACATGGTCTGGTGGTTTGCTGCGAATGGGCAGTGACCATTGTCTTCGCAAGAAGAAGATGTCTTGAGTAGTCTCTCTACTGTGTCTTATAATGATCAGGAATAAAAGTCAAGGAATCCTCGCCTCTGGAAACAGGACATGATTTCTGTGAACAGCCCCCAGTGGATTTGTATCCTGAACTCCTGACCCTACTTTCAGTTTATCTCATTCATAGAGAATGAAATGACTTCAGTTAAGTCAAGTATCCCGAATCAAAAGGGCTTAATGACTGGGCCAGGTCTCCTTCTGAGATATGCTAGAGTCATCAGTGCTATTGCCATTCTCTGTAACACTCGAGCTTCTCCCGCCCTGTGTTAAAAGCATAAAACGCCTGCATGCTATCTCCATTTCCCACAGCTGTGGTTTCTTGGTCTCTGTGAATAAGCATTTTGGAATTGTCACGAGATGGAGGAAATAGCATGCTCGGAGTATTTCCCAAGCCCAGTTGCCAAGAATGAGCTCATCCTAACCCTCCCTGCATACAATGAGTCTTCAAAACTTCAAATGCAAGCCATTCTGTAATGATCTACCTTTCCAGGAGAATGACATGCTTTCATTGTTGAACCTTGGTCTTTCAGAAGTGTAACAGAAGTAACATTTCAAATGATGTCGTAAGAGCCCTAGCCAGTTTGGCTCAGTGGATAGAGCGTCAGCCTGCGGACTGAAGGGTCCCAGGTTCGATTCCAGCCAAGGGCACATGCGTGGGTTGCGGGCTCGATCCCCAGTAGGGGGCGTGCAGGAGGCAGCCCATCCATGATTCTCTCTCATTGTGGATGTTTCTAACTCTCTCTCCCTCTTCCTTCCTCTCTGAAATCAATAAAGAAATATAGTTTAAAAAAATGATGTTGTAAGATTAATAAAATATTTAACTATCCTGGTTTTTTAAAAAAATGTATAGTGGAGGCGGGCGGCGCAGCTCCCTCGTGAGCCGGAGCCATGTCAGCGCGCGTGAGCCAGGGCTCACCATGAGCCAAGGCCATGTCCGTGAGCTCGGAGGACGACGACTATGAATCGGAGCCCGACCAGAACCGGGCCATCGGGAGGCCCAAAGGGAAGCTGGGCCCCGCCTCCGCGGTGAAGTTGGCCACCAACCAGGCCACAGCGGGAGCTCGCC